GATGATACCCTTGATATCCTCCCACAACTCATCTGGCCTTCACTCATTAGTGTTCAAAGCCTCAAACCTGTTCCTGAGATGGTTCTGAAATTCAGGTGGGATAGACTCAGTCATATTTTGGTTACCTTGGATTTGGTTTAATTTTCCTCAGCTGCAGCTTGAATTTGCATATGAGTAGTTGGTGGTCTATTCCACAATCAGCTCCTGGCCTAGTTGTCACATCTGATATTGAGCTTCTCCAGCGGTTCTTTCCACAGATGTAAGCGATCTGATTCCTATGCATACCATCAGGTGAAATCCAGGTATATAGCCTGCGTTTATGTCTCTTAAAAAATGTATTTGCTATGAATATGTCATTGATTGTGCAAAATTCGATCATTCTCTTTCCAGCTCCATTTCTGTCACTGAGTCCATGTTTTCCAACTACTGAATCTTCTTCTTTGTTCCTGACTTTTGCATTCCATTCACCCATTATTATCAATGCAAAACCTATACTTAGACCAAAAGCTATCATCTGCATAGAGCAAGGGAACACTGCATAGTTTAAAATCTGGAAAGATGTGCAGTAGGGCTGTACCTTTTCTCCATACCTAGTTAATCTATAAACAGAGAAAATAATTGGAGAGGCTAGACTTTATAAAGAAGAGTAGAGAATTAGGATTGGAGGAATACTCATCAACAACCTGTTTGTATTATAATATGTTCTACTTATAAAGCTAATATCAGGCTAATTACTAAAAGGCAGAAGTCATTGATGCCCCAGATGTTGAGTCTGTTGTACCGCTCCATCATTTCTGATATACACTCTTTGTTCTCCATTTAGTTCCCCTATTCCTGCCTGTGTCTCTTTGGATTTTGTGGTTCTCTGGAAAGTTTCACAGAGACTCAAATCCCATCAGGGGAATGACTCATGTAATCGAGACTCAAATCCCATCAGGGGAATGACTCATGTAATTGTAAGTGATATAGACTGGTGTTGCAGGGCCTAGTGAGTAGATCCTGCAAACTGTTAGTTGCAGAGCAGCTGGATGCAGTGTCCCAGGAGATGAAGCATCCTGAAAGAGACCTGGGTGTCCCAAGAGTTAGAGTGTGGCGCTTCCATGAGCTTCTAGTATGTTGGGGCTTGTATTCCACTCTAATCCTATCTCCTTAATACAATAAATACTTGAAGACATTGAGAAGGAGTGCATCAAGGTTATATTCTCTCTCCATACCTATTCATTCTGTATGCTGAGCAAATTATATGAGAAGCTGGACTATTAAAAGGAGTGTGGCATTGGGATTGGAAGGATACTCATCAATAACCTGTGTTATGCTGATGCCACAACCTTGCTTGCTGAAAGTGAGGAGAACTTGAAACACTTTTTGCAGAAGATCAAAGTATGCAGCCTTTAGTATGGATTGTATCTTAATATCAAGGAAACAAAGATTCTTACCACTGGACTGATAAGGCAGCATCATGATGGATGGAAAGGAGATCGAAACTGTCAACAGCTTCACCTTGCTTGGATCCACAAGTAATACTCTTGGTTCCAGCAGTCAGGAAATAAGGAGATGCATTGCACTGAGGAAGTCTACAGTTAGGGACCTTTCTGAATTATTGAGGAGTAATTGTGTCATTTTGAGGTCTAAGGTGTGTCTGATCTAGGCCATGGTCTTTCCGATTACTTGCTATGCATCTGAAAGCTGAATAATGAATAAGGATGACAGAAAAAGAATTGACTTCTTTGAGCCGTGGTGTTTTAGAAGAACACTGAACATCCCATGGACAGCCAAGAGAATAAACAGCATTCTCTTGATGAGGATGCAGCCTAAGTGTTCTTTGGAGGCAAGAATGATGAGAGTTTGTCTCACATACTTTGGTCATGTTGCTAGGAGGGGCTATTCCTTGGAGAGGGACATGATGCTGGGAAGAGTATAGGGTCAGTGAAGGAGAGGAAGACCCTCAAGTAGGTGGATTGACATGGTGACTGCTGCAATAGGCTCTTGTGTGCCAGGAAGTGTGAGGATGGCACAGGATAGGACAGGGTTCAGATCTTTTGTTCATAAGGTCACTATGAGTCATACTTGACTCAACAGCACCTAACAGCAACAACAACAATAACAACAAAGTAGGGCTTGTAATCCAACTTAATCCTATCTTCTTGATCCAAAAATATTCACAAAATAGGAGGCTGTAGATGGAAGTACCACATCAATTCATTGTACCACACTGCATTAAGCAGGTGATACAACCTTGCTTGTCAGACAGCTTGAAATGCTTGCTGCAGAAAATGAAAATCTTCACTATTTATTGCATCTTAACATGAAGAAGACAAAAATGGGTCACCAATGGGCCAGTGAGCAACATCATGGTAGATGGGTAAGAGATAGAAATTATCTCTAGTCAGTTATTTAGTGTGAGTTATTTCATCTTGCTTGGATTCACAGTCAACATTCTTGCACCTGCAGTCAAGAAATCAAAAGGCGTCTTTGGGTAAATCTACTGTCAAGGACCTTTCTCAGATATTAAGGAACAGTGATATAAATTTAAAGACTAAGGTGCATTTGATTAAAGGCATTATTTTTTCAGTTACTTGTTCTGCATCTGAAAAGCAGACAATGACTAAGGATTACAGAAGAAGAATCAATGCCTTTGAGTTGTGGTGTTGAAGAAAAGTACTGAAAACCCCATGGACTGCCAAAAGAAACAAACGTTCTTGGAGAAAGTGCTCCTTGAAGACAAAGACAGTGAAGGTTTGTCTCATATTTTGATGTGTCGTTAGGAGAGTCTGATCCTTTGTCCTTGGAAGAGGACATCATGGTTGGAAAGATGAAGTGTCAGTGAAAGAGAAGACGACAATGAGATGGATTGACAGTAACTATAACTGTGGGCTCTGAAGTATATCAGAAATGTAAGGATGGCACAAGATAGGACAGGGTTCAGATCCATTGTTCATAGGGTTGCTGTGAGTTTTAGCTGTCTTGATGACACATAACAACAGGAATGTTTTAACATACATCTTAAAGTAATGCCTGCTTGTTACTACGAAATAGTGTTTGTACCTTGAATTTTTAATATCTTTCAGGGTATTTGTTTCATTATGGAATAGTTCTACTGTGATGTATTTGGTTTTCTTGTTTTATACTTTTGTATTATCACTTTAGCTGCCAGCCTTGTGAAAAAAAAGCAAAAACTTTATATTATTTTTAAAAAGACTTTGCAGATTCTCTAAAAGATCCTTAGTAGCCCAAGGACCTTCCTTCAAAAATCCTTGTAGAGTATTTTAGTTGTACATATTGGGGATTGATTCTTTTCTAGATTATCTGATTTTTACTTTAAAATTCATAGTGTGTGTTTGGCAGCCTTACTTTTCTCATAAGCAATTAGTATGACACAGTGAGTAATTTTAGCTAGCTTTGATCTTTTATAGGTGGTTATTGGAGATCAAGATGGAGTAGTTATGTGTTTCGGCGTGAAGAAAGGAGAAACAGTGGTAAGTATAGTTAACCCACTACCTCCTCCCCAGGGGAAGAAAACTTTGTTAAAGTAATGTCAGACTACTTAATAATTTTAGTTTAAAAATTTTCCCAAAATATAGGCAATAGAGAGCAGGTGTTGAGGAAGGTAATTTTATGAGGCAGCATCTAGCACAAAACTCAGTTGTAGCTAATTGGAAATCAACTCTAGTAGCCTGTGGTGGTATATTCATTTTCTATACTGTCTAACAAATGACCTCAATTTTTAGAACTTAACACATGGTGAGTTTAAATGGGTCCAGACACTTATTAACTTTATCCTTTGTTCAAGATGTCACAGGCTGAGTTGGCCATGTTATCTGGGCTGTGTTCATTTCTGGAGCATAAGGTCCTATTCCTGGTTTCTGAAGTTGTTACCTCCTTGCTGTTTTAGGACTGATGCCCTGTTTTCTTGCTGTTTGTCACCAGGTACTGCTCTTAGGACCTTCTTGTTAGGAGTAGATGCTGTGGAGTTGGCTCCAAATCATAGGAGTACTATACAACAGAATGAAATGCTGCCAAATCATGCACCATCCTTATAAACTCTATTGTGCTTAACCCACTGTTGTAGGCTTTTTGTCAGTGTATCTCCTTGAGGGTCTTCCTCCCACCCTTTACATGACTATGGCATTTCTCCAGACACTGGCCCTTTATGATAACATGCCAAAATATGTGAACAAAAGTCTCAGTATCCTTGCTTCTAAGGTAAATTTTGCCTATGCTTCTCCCAGAATAGATTTGTTTCTGTGTTAATAATTCATGGTATATTTAATATTCTTTGTTCACATTACATTTCAAAGACAGTAGTTCTACTTCAGTCTCATATTCATTGTACAGTTTTCATTGGAAGTATGATGGCTTGGATCGGGTGCACCTTTATCTTTAAAGTGACATCTTTGCTCAGTAGTGTTTGAAAGGAATCATTGGGAGCTGTTCAGAGAGTATGGATGGCTAAGGTTGACCTTTATTAACTTTACAAAGGGGAATAGTTCTCATCAGCAATATCCACAGTATAAAACCAATTCCTTTAACATTAAATATGACCTCCATGCTCCCACATCTGCTACTCCTAATTCCAACTCTAGTGGGGCTGCTCTGCTACCAGATCTAAAATACATTACAGTGGTCACACAGATCTCACAGAACCATATTCATGGTTGTGGGGTTTATTAGAGAATTCAACAGGTTACAGTTCAAGTTGACAACAATTCAAGCAGCTTTTCAAGCTTGGTTGCAGCTCCTTCATTTTCAGCCTCTTGGTTTATTTATGTCATTTCCCTTAATCCTGCTAACTGTGCTGTCTTCCCTCAGTCCTCCAGCAAGCTTGGATGAAGTCCTCTGGTTCTTGCTTTGTGGAATAACAGTTTCAAGTGAGCTCTGTCTCATGTTGGTCTCTGGCTCTCTGTTCTCATGTAGAACCCAGTCTGGCTGGTATAAGAATCTCTGGCACTGAAGGATGCTCACTATACTCTATAAACCATATGCTTCCTTTTTTTCTTTTTCCTGCTAATAGAGAGTTCCACTTTTGCAGCTAACTTGTTCAGTTTAATCTTGATAGAATAGCGAAAACTGACCATCTCTTAATAATTTGTTTCTATATACCATATTTCAAGTTCCTGCCCACTTACGAGGTTAAAATTAAAATCAAAGTCACTGGCTAGGAAAGCCATTTTGAACAATAAATGCATCACACCACAGTACCAGATTTGCCTAATTTAATGTTACTTCATTTCTTGATTGTATTTTCTATATGTGATGATTGTGGATCCAAGGAAAAGGAAATCCTTCCTAATGTCAGTCTTGTTCTGTTTATTGTGATGTTGTGTTTTAGCTCCTTGAATTCCTTACAATTTCTTTCCGTATGACCCTCTCACAACATGGTAGCATCTTTATTCAAAGGCAGCAGGAAAATCTCTCTCCTGTTTGCTGACATGGAATCTTGTATCACATAATCACAAGAGTGACTGTCCCATTATTGTATATAAAGGGCAAGTCTGAGATGTGACTTTTCATATTAATTGTACATAATACAAACATTACGAAACAATGAAGCATCTGTGACTGCCTGAAACGTAGAGTTTCCAGTCTAAAATTGATTCATATATAGTTATATTCTTTATGTATGAATTTGTGTAGGAGAGGGAAAAGAAGAGATTAAAACTGGTACTAACATTAAAATTAAAAATAACTAGAA